ACGTATGTCTCCTTCTCCTGGCTACGTTTGCCCAGTATATGCCTATTGACTTCTATGGGGCTCATCTACCTCCATCTCCTGGCTTGGAGAGGAGCCCCATAAAAGTCAGTTGGGATATACTGCGCAGATGAAGCCAGGAAAGAAGGTGCCCACTACAGGATGTAAACAGACAACCAAGGCCAGAGTCATACTGTATGGCTATTTTGTTACACCTTTATTTAAGGAGGGTGCTGAACTTGATGAATATAAGTAATGTTTACCCTGACCTAACCAGTATTTTTAGACCGTACATAAGAAATAACAACTACATTTAAAGCCCTCTGCATAGTTAATAAGTACTAGTTTTTTTCTTCCAAATATACCATTTGCAAACCTGCGCTTCCCCCTTCACTTTCCATTGGGTTGGGTGCACTCAATATGTCCCCTGTGTTCAATGCCAGAACTGCATGTCTCAGGATGCATTAAGCATGATATTCAAATGCGCATTCAAATATAATTTTTAGAGTTTCTGCTGGTCTCTATCAGTCACAGACACATGGGCAAGGATGTGGGTGAATATATACTGGGTTATTCACTAAAGGGTGAAGAGTTTGGAGAAGGCAGGAGAAGTGAACAATCTAGAACAACATAGCTGAATTGGAGTATTTTTCCAAATCCGCTATTTTGGCCTCGAGTGTTTACTTCTCCTCCCTTCTCCAAACGCTTCACCCTTTTGTGAAGAACCCTGTAAGAATTCTCATGCTCCGTATGTTATGCTCACCGGGGAATATATCTAAAAGTTTTATAAATTTAGCCATACCCTCAGCTAATACTACTTTATGGGGAATAAAGTTCTACATTTTCACTGCTCTAACAGTGAAGAACCCCTTTCTTATTTTAAGACAGGGGTTGAAAAATTAATATAGAATTCAGGAGCCAGTCTGTCCAATCCAGCAGCCAGCACAATGTTTTTTTAGGGGCCAGCTGCATTGACGTTAACTAGAGAAACCTCATAAATTTCGGTGACAGCTGTGATCTTTAAGGAGCATTGGCTACCCGCTCCTGGGATGTGTCCAGCCATGTTTTAAGAGAGAACGTATTTGTATGCAATGTTAAATCGTGACCATATGTCCTCTTCAGGCACAGAGTAAAAAGGTAATTACAGTTTATATAATCACCTTCATACATTGTGATCAAGTCCCCTCTTCAGAGTCTTTTTTTCTAGAATGAATAAATGTAATCTTTGTAATTGTTCTTCATAACGGAGGTCCTCCAACCCCCTTATTAATTTTGTTGCCCTTTTTTGAACTCTTAATAGTTCAAGGACATCCTTCCTGTGGGTTTGTGACCACTTCATTCAAAACTAAAAAAAGATGTGGCCTTACTACACTTCATACCTCTGAAGCACAATACTTCATACATGTTTTGTTTTCCTTACTTACAAATAGTAATTCTTGGCTGCATTAATTACATAGTCATGATCAGTTGATGATGTCTTCACGCTTCTCCCTAATGACACGTCATCCTCCATGTGGGTATACTTAATGATGGCTGTATATACTGTACAGCAAACCATATGGGGAACAGCTGCTTTTGTTTGCATTTCATTTGAACTTACAGTCTGGTCTTTGCCTGGAGATTTTCATAAAATCACATACTGTGCTGCCATTGCCAAGAACTTCATGGGAAAAATTGGTAAAGCATGACGTAATAGCAAGCATTCACTTATCCCTTATCCGAAAGCTTGCTTTTCTGATGTTTTTAAATTGCAGTTTTTTAAAAGTTTGGCGCGGTGTGCTGATAAGAGGCAGGACATCTAACAAATACTTTTTGTTGACCTCTGTGTTGTTTGTTTTTTTTCTTTTTAGAATTTGTCTTGGTTAGGTGATCTCATTGTGAAGCAAGTACAGACTGTAGACTTATGGAGAGAATTGCGTACTTGAGATTAATGTAGAACTATAACGTGGAAGGAATGTTTTGCCCTGCCCTTATTGCACTCGCTGTTTTGGCATTGCTCCCAGCTCACTTTTCCTCAGGAGAATTTAAAATGATGTGTAATGGGATCATGCAGATTAATTATAATCGTGAAACAACCAGTTTAGACAGGAAAATAGTAAGTGGCACAATTTTGATTATTAGAAAGTAGCACAAGCATTTATTTACATTTTGAAATATGTAATCATTCACAGCACGCTTTAAAGGAGAACTATAGGGTGATCCCCATAGTTAGAGCCATTGAAACTGTCACACTTGGGGTCTGTTGATCGGGAAGTGAGCGAAAACATACCGCCGATCCTCTCACTTCTGAATTATCTCCCTGCAGGGAGCAGTGACTGTCAGTCACCAATCCCCACAGGGATTCCCCCCTCCCCTCTCTGATCTTCCAGTGCTGAGTGGAGGGACGGACAGGGGAGGGGGCGGGCACAGCTGGCTCTGCCTCTGTATGCACTGAGTAAAATGTTTTCTCACATTTTCCTTGCAAAGTTTTTGGGGCATTTATTTGTAAGATGAATATCATCCCATCATTTGTTTCAGTGGGAGGAATAGTGCTCCATTGTTGGTGTCAGTGGGAGTTTTGGTGTCCCATTACTGCTGCTGTTCGGAATAATAGAGCCCCATTGTTGATGGGATGAATGGTGCCTTTACTGGTGTTTGCGGGAGGAATAGTACCCCATCATTGATGTCAGTAGGAGGAAAAGTGCCCCATCTTTAATGTCAATGGAAAGAATAGTCTCCCCCCATACAGGCACCATTGGGCACTATCGGAGAGGAGATCACATGACAATACTGAAACACTGTGCATGCAGGCCCTTCTCATTGTAGGGGTCCATTTATGGCAATCAGCGTGTCGTTACCAACCTGTGGGCCATAGTTTTAGGACCACTGAGTTAACATTTTTGAAGGTTTTCTTATGTCTTTAACAGCCCTCCATTGCTAACCCACACTTTACTTCCCCTCGCTCAGCTGTGTGTGAGAACAATGGTCTCTTTACATGCCCCCAGCACAGTCACAACTACTGTGCTCTAATCAGCAAGGCTGTTCGGGAAGAGATGTTCAGGTGCACTGCAGAGCTATTAGAGAAAATATAAAAGAAATTAACCATTCAACTTTCCTGACTTTCCTGCCTAAGCTGTAAAATCTTAAACTATGATTGGTCTTTTAAGAAGTATGTATACAAGGCAACTTGTTTTGCACATTTTAATATTCCTCAAAGGCTATGATCTGTATTCCCTTTTATTGTCATTGGAGGTTTCTAAAAGTGTCAGGTGCCCATTGGGGAGATCTTCCTTCACTTTCTTGGTGACAGTGGCCATTGATAGTGACCACTTGGACACATGGGGGTGAATCTCCCCTGCGTGGACATAAACAGCAATAAAAACCTGACCGTGTTTCTAAGCTTTTCCCACTCTATCCAAAGCTGTAACGTAAATTGGCTTTAGATAAACTTGAATGTGGAGCACATTACAACATAGAAATGTTGTGCTGGACAACAGGGTGAGATGCTGTATAATGCCTTATCCAATGCTATAGATCTGTCCAGATAATTCATTGGTTTTTATTTTCTTCATAGCACAATTTTAGAGCTTGTAGGGAACCCTAGAACAAAGAGCTAGTACTTTCTTTTAACTCTGTGTCACCATTTTGTATACATTTTTTTAAATCAGGGTTGCTTTTCCTATTGTCGTCGGTTTAACTTTACCTATAGTGCCCCCTTTACTTCTTGTGAGTTATCATCCATAGGTAAATCTCAGTGAAGATCGCAAAAGCAACATTGTGAGGCTCACATGTGTTTGGAGTAGAACTTTGACCCGAGGACTAAATTAAATTAAGAACCGGACCATTAAACCTGAATGTGGACTCTGGACATTATATGGCCCTGCACCAGTAGTTAAGATTTGTTTTAATTTAGTTGTATATGTTGTACAATGAAAGGGGGCAAAATATTGTTGACTTTAATTCCACTTTAAGCAAGAAACAAAAGCTGCCTCAGAATTGCCAAACATGCTAATCAGACTTTATATACTTAGGAATTCCAGGTATTCAAAACCCAATCGTGAGCTTCTGTGTGTGCTGAACTGTACTGAAAAACTGCATCCATTACATTGCATAAGATGAGACAGTTCATTTGTATTTACCACAGTACTACCATTACAGACAGTATTAAATGTTGTTGTGGAAGGTGCAGCAATAGAAAACTGGCCTTGAATCCTGTTTTGGGGGCATTTGTGATGGCCATCGGTGATTGTTTTGATCTGTCAGATATCTGCAAATGTTTCACACTAACTCCAGCCCAAAGGTTACCATTGTTGGTTAAGCTACCACACTTCTTCAAGAATTGTGATTCTCCTCATAGTTCAATTTATTTGTCTTTATGCTTCTATAATACTTGTAAGGTTTTCTTTAAATAGGCTCATGGTTTGCTGGGCATTTATTCCACACTGTAGATAAGATGTCGACTTTCTTATTTTCTGGTTGCTTTTAAAATATGTTTTGTAATTGTTTGGTATTTTATAAGTAGAACTGAACTCTGGAATCAGAAGACAAATGACTGGTCACCAGTATTGACAACACTGGGGCAGGCTAGCAGTCAAAGGCAGCAGTGCCTTAGATCTCACACTGCAGACATACAGCTATGAGGCTGTAAACACGATCATACCAGGAGATGCACTGTTATTTTTCAAGAGCTCCAGAAAAAGTATGTTTTACAAGATACTGCATAGGCACAATTAACATTTCTAGATGTTCCAAAAAGTCTTCACTTTTTGAGTTCATGTCCACTTTAAAACATTCTAATGGGCCTGTGTCTTTTTTAAACCTAACTACTGTACTATGATCCTGTTATATTATGTATGTGGTTGACCAGTCCTCTTCCACACAGCTTTAGATATTGCTGGCTTACGTGTGCCTCCTCTTGGGTTTAATTTCATATACTGAACTGTGGTATTATGTTATTGTTAATCATATGGAACACTTTGATATTACCTAGGAGCTGACCCTTTTTATTCACATTTGTTTTCCAGAAAGACCCTGTCTACCTGCGGCTGTGGTTGGACAGTTTTGTTTCCAGCTATGAACAGTTTCTGGATGTTGACTTTGATGAGCTTCCGACCAGGTACTTAAGAAAAGTCACAATAAAATGATTGTGTGCTATAGAAAACGGTATGCTTTGTTATGATAGCATGCTCACCTTTTATAACAGAAAGCCATTCTGTAAGTTTATATTCTGTAACTAACACAAGTCTATACTTGAATTTTAAGTGAGCCTTACTTTAAAGTTCAGGAAAAAAATAATGGAATGGAACTACATATGAAATTGCAGAAACGTGTATATGTAGCTATAATAAGTGAAATCCAGGCTTGCTCCAGGAGTTAGTCATATGACAGATGCCGAGTCTTTGGTCACATGGTCTCTGCCAAAGGACTTGGAAGATTATGACCAGCTACCAAAGACAACATATATTCTAGCCTCTCCAGATGTAGCAAAGTAGTTTCTGCGGTTTTATGCAGATGCCTCACCAAATAGTCCTCATAATAGTGCCAGCAGGTGTGCACACTTAGAACTCATACTCAGTAATGAATCCAGATCAAACAAATATACATTGCCCAGAAAAGTATTTTTGTTATATTTTCAACCCAAACACTTAGTCATCATGTTTTAGAACAGCTGGATCCAACTCTCTCAGCTCCACTTCCCTGAACTTCATGTCAGGTATAATGAGTGCTGGTCCATGAAGGGTGAACAGCAGATTAGGTGGTCACAGTTCTGTGATCACAGCAAGAGCTGATCACTGTGATCGCAGAGCTGTGACAGTTTCACAGCCGGCGGCAGCTCACTGTGTTGTGTGCGGCTGGAGCTGGCTGTGTGTTTACAAATTGATACAAAGTATCTCCCAGCAGAATACTGTATTCTACTTAGAGATACTAAGCATCAAAGCCCCTGTAAATAAAAGAAAATAACCCTTTAGTGCCCCCTAGTTTTAAAAAAAAAGTAAGATAAAAAAAAAACGTTCTTCACATTTTTAAAAATTAAAAAAAATCGCAAGAAAAGTAAAAAAAAGTTAAAAAAACAACTTGTTTAATAAATAATATTATAAGAAAACAGTGCCAAGGAGGCTCTTATTAAAGATAGGAGACAAACAAGCCACATTCTAAAATTGTTCCACACTAAAATAGTATTTCACTTCTTGTGACCTATAACTCCCAAAATAAACTGAAATCCCAGACATATGATACACCCTATAAATCAGGACAAATATATGAATTTATTATGAATTACCTTCTGTTAGCTGCACTAATTATGTACACATTATTAGTGCCAAAATTGTGAAAAACATCTTTTTTTTTTTTTTTAGAAAAATAAATAAATCTATATGCATATGTCACATCAGCTTAAACCCCATTTTGTCCTTTAAAAAAAACGGTATATAATATGTGTAGGTATAATGAATGAGGAAGATTGAAATTATGGTTAAACAAACACATAGCAAAAATGGCAAAATTGCTTCCGTCCCCAGAAGCGAAAACATTTTCTGAAGCTGTGTCACCATTGGGTTTAACTCCCAAAGGTGTTATACTTTCTAAGCCTTTCATTCAACCTCTAAATAATTGCATTTTTATTTTGAAAACCAGTATAAAGGAAACACAGTGGAGAAACTTTTCAGTTGTCACCAGAGCATAAGGTGAGGGCAAAATGATCAATGTGGATGCTTGTTCCAGTGACCGCTTTCTAAGAGGGGGATTCCTCTCCTCTATAACGAGATTTACTCTCACTTCCTGTTGTATCTCTAGTGCAGAAAGTGAAGGAAAATCTTCCCAGTAAGACACAGACATCCACAAATATACTGATGGGTTTAACCCTTCCCCACTTGATTGAAAAAATATTATGTTTTAATCCTTAGTGGTCTGCATAACTTGGGGGTGCGCTGAGGAGTGCTTTTTGCCAATATACTTTTTGCCCCAGTACAATTCCAAATAGATATAAGAAATTATGAGGTGGTTCATTGCTCATGTGTCTACCAAAAACTTAAAGGAGAACTATGGGTTTAGGGCTTTTCCCCATAGTTCTCCTTAGGGTAACAGGAGGACACAAACTAGCGTCCTCCCGTCACCCTAAGCTCAGTATACTGCGAGCTACAGCTCGCGGTATACTGAGACGCTGAAGCAGGTACCGACAATTATATCTGGATCCGCCCAGCTGCCTGAGTGACAGCTGGCTCTGCCTATCTACAGGCAGAACCAGCTGTAACCGCCCCTTCCCCCGTCCGTTCTGCCAGTCAGCGCTGGAGGATCGGAGCGGGGAGGGGGGAATCCAGCCCCTCCCCTGTCACGGCAGAGAGCCGTGACAGGATCGAGAAGTTCGCTCACCTCCCGATCTACTGAGCCGACGTGTGACAGTCTCATTGTCACAGGTGGGCTAGAACTATGAGGTGAGTGAAAAGCACTCGCCTCATAGTTCTCCTTTTTAAATATCTAAGTTGTGTAAACTGACCCTTTAACTATGTAACTATATAAGCACATTACAGAAAACATGAAATACTTATTTTAGGATTGGGATCTAAACCATTCAGCTTGGTTTGTTCTTAAAAGGGCACATTCAGTCCCTGCATGTCATATTTACTATTCATTCCTGGGAACACAGAGAGGGGAATTGATCAAAACTGCAGCAGACAAAAACTGGAGCAGATGTGCAGGGCAACCAATTAGCTTCTCTCTTTAGTTTGCTCAGTTAAGATTTGAAAATGAAAGAGGGAAGCTGATTGGTTGCCATGCACATCTGCTCCAGATGTTGTATTCCCCGGTTTTGATATGTTCCCCTCGCAGATTTGACCCTTTACTTGGCATATTAAAGTAGTATTCAGTAGGGTGCTAATGTCTGATATTGCTTTAGGATCCCTTAAAGGAAGCTGTCATGTTGACCCAGTGGCTAAAGGACTCGAAAAAAGTATGCAGGTTAGGAGGTCCGATTTCACTTCTATGATCTGCTTGTTACAGGTCAGTACCTGAACATGTTTAAAGGAGAACTATGGGGTTAGGGCTTTTCCCCATAGTTCTCCTTAGGGTAACGGGAGGACACAAACTAGCGTCCTCCCATCACCCTAAGCTCAGTATACCGCAAGCTACAATTCGCGGTATACTGAGGCGCTGCAGTATACCACGAGCTGCTGCTTGCGGTATACTGAGACGCCGCAGCTGAAGCGGGTCCCGACAATTATGTCTGGATCCGCCCAGCTGAGTGATTGACAGCTGGCTCTGCCTATCTAGAGGCAGAGCCAGCTGTACCCGCCCCGTGCCCCATCCTTTCCGCCAGTCAGCGCTGGAGGATCGGAGCGGGGAGGGGGGAATCCAGCCCCTCTGCCGTGACAGGATCGAGAAGTGAGCAAACGCCAGTATGTGTTCGCTCACTTCCCGATCTACTGAGCCGACCTGTGACAGTCTCATTGTCACAGGTCGGCTAGAACTATGAGGTGAGTGAAAAGCACTCACCTCATAGTTCTCCTTTAAGCCAGCCAAGCAACTAGCAGTTTCAGAGGGAGTTCCACAAAGACTTTCTCTCAGTACCGGTTCCCTTTAAAATGTTTCCTCCTTTGTCCCTGTTTTGGCCTTTTCCTAAGAACAGATAAAATCCCAGTGCTGATGTGTTTATGGCAGCTGAACAGCCATTAGGGAGATGTCTTCTGCTCTGTCAGTTGTTTGATCACTATTCAATATGTGACTATCTTTTTACATGCAGAAACTATGGTTATAAATGCTTTATTTCTGTTTATTTTGGATCCGTTTCAGGGTTGTTCAGTAGAAAGTTTATACATTTTGGAATCCTTTTCTGAAGGAGCCACTATGTGAAGGTCATTTTAAAGCACTACAAACATAACAGCCAGTTTATGATGTATGGATATTGCTTTTGTTTAAGCACATCATTTGTTACCCAAACCAGTGAGATTACAGACATTTGCATCCTCTAATGGGTATAGCTAGCTAAATAAAACTGGAGACACCTATTATTTTTTTTGTCTTTACCAGATGTGGACTAGTTCCATTGTTGTACCTTATACTGAGCTAACTTGGAAAATAATAGGGAAAGATAATTTAACCCATTTGCTGCCAGATCCATTTTTGTGGTTCTTTTTTTCTTTTGCACACAAGGTAAAATGCCCAGTGATATATTTCCTGAAAGCAGATGCCCTGTAGAATAAAATGGTGCCAGTTGCAATTTTCTATATATCACATGATATTAGTGCAACTATTTAACCACAATATATTACCTAATTGTTGGTGAAATATAAAAGATAAGGTTGGGCCAAGTAAATAGATGACAAACATGTCAAACTTCAAAATTGCGTGCTCCCGTGAAATGGTGAAAATTTACAGTAACCAAAATTGTCCATAGGCAATGCTTTAACAGATTATACAGGCCATCAGTTTAGCGTTTACCATGAATAATGGACCTAGTATTATTGCTCACACTCCAGCATGCGTGGCGATACCCATTTCCTGTTTTCATACATAGGTGCACCCCATCCATGTTTAGTATCAGTATGTGCATGTGTGCGGGGGCAGGGGACTTGAACAATTTTTAGGGGGTGTTTTTTTATTTTCTTTTTGAATAATCTTTTTTTTTTCTCTTGACTTGAAATGTTTTTTACATGTAATATTGTTTATGAATATTATGTGTAGTCTTCTATCTAACTAGCAGGTTGAGCTCTAGGCTCATTTTCCTTTATTTCTTGGTTTCTGCTTACCACAGTGTAAAAAGCCTATTGCTTACAGAGATCAGTAGCTCTAGCTGAAGTGTCTACACTGAAGGAGTCACATTCAATAGCTCAGTCTGAAGTATCGATCAGATAGGACAAGGTGGAGAGTAAGCTGATTTTTCTGTACTGGTTAGCTTACCCTAGGAATCCTTTGTCATGTATTGTATACCTAGGGGCCCATTTATAAATACTCTGCAGTTCACAGAACACCACTTCAAAAAGTGCACACTGTGGACATAGCTAGCTAGCAGCTGAGAAACCATAACTGTTGTGACCATCATAGCTTGCTTCAGGGTCCTGAAGTAAGCACTGCAGAAACAATAGAGGAAATGCACACATCGGAGCAGTTCTGGTTCACATCTCTAAAACCATAAGTTTAATCATGGTTAGGAAGGATAAATAGTACAGAATAGTGGTATTGCGATATAGTGTCAGGATTGGGCCTTTTTCCATTATAACTTGGTTCCCTAGTGTACAGAAGTGGTGGCCATTACATTTTGCTTTAAGGTATAAGGCCCTGTGTACATTATTGTGGTTCAGGAACTCGCAGGTTCCCATGTGCATTACTGCAATAGAAGACACCGCCTGCTACTTGTGATGGTAAAATGCGGTGGAATTAATTCTAAATAGCACCCCAATGTGTCCTGCTATCAGAGGTGCAGTGCAACACATAGCAATGCACTGATGTAAGCTGCCAAAAAGGTGATTTGTGGGCCATTGGGGTGCATTGCCAGCCACTGAATTTGAAATAGCCTGGTTGATGCATTGCATCTTATTGCGCCCCACTCAAAGTAATGTATGTGAAAAATACAAGACAGTTAAAACGAAAGAAAGAGTTTTGTGCTAGTACTGTTATTTCTACCATGCAGTTCCAAGTGGGCCTAAGAAAGCTTGTACTAAGCATAGTTTAAACAGTATATTCATAGTGTGTGTGTGTGTATATATATATGTGTGTGTATGTATATATATATATA